TTTTTTTAAATTATAAATTATTTCAAACATACAGATGAGAATTCAGAGCGGCATAACTAACACCTGTGAACTACTGCCGTACTTCACCAAATCTTGGCATTGTCTGGGTGGTGGCTCTGTAATACGTCAGCTTACTGAGGCTGTACGTATCCAGTTTTGGGGCGGCCGCAAGAGACATGTTGCCCGAGATTTGGAGGGCAGATGTGAAGCAGCAGCCACAGTATTTTATGCTCAGAAGGTCTGTGCAGGGTGGTGGTCACTCACCTGTTGGCTCACCTGTCCCACCTGTTGATGTGGGATCCTTCTTCACCCAACTCCAGGTGTTTCTGTCTGTGACTAAGGGCGCCATTCTGGAGGACACCCACATCATCAAAGCTGGGGACAGTGAGAGTTTGTCCTCATGGATTCCAGCTTATCCTCACTGTCCCTCACTTTACATCCATCCTCCCTTTCTTACTTTCTGCCCTGCAGACGGCAAGCTTCAGTGTCAGATGTGAAAGCAACAGCCTTAGAGACTGTTCAACCAGTGCCGGCAGGGACATGATACCTGTAATTTATTTATATGTATTACATAACACATAATTGCATAATACTGTGACTTATATATAAGGACTAAAGTGCATCTGACCCAAGCCATGGTGTTTTCAATTGCCTCATATGCATGCGAGAGCTGGACAACGAATAAGGAAGAACAAAGAAGAATTGATGCCTTTGAATTGTGATGTTGGTGAAGAGTACTGAATATACCATGGACTGCCGGAAGAACAAACAAATCTGTCTTGGAAGAAGCACAGCCAGAATGCTCCTTAGAAGCAAGGATGGCGAGACTACGTCTCATGTACTTTGGACATGTTATTAGGAGGGACCAGTTCCTGGAGAAGGACAGCATGCTTGGTAAAGTATAGGGTCAGCGAAAAGAGGAAGACCCTCAATGAGATGGATTGACACAGCGCGTGCAACAATGGGCTCAAGCATAGCAACAATCATGAGGATAGCGCAAGACCAGGCAGTGTTTTGTTCTGTTATACATAGGGTTACTGTGAGTTCGACCCAACTCTATGGCACGTAACAACAAATATATAAAAACCACATTATTTATATATTTACATACATATATGGAGCCCTGGTGGTGCAGTGGTTAAGAGCTAGGACTGCTAACCATAAGGTTGACAGTTCGAATCCACCAGGCACTCCTTGGAAACGCTATGGGGAAGTTCTACTCTGTCCTGTAGGGGCGCTATGATTCAGAATCGACTATACACATATATATACATATACATTGTATATATTTAATACATATAAAGTACACGTATATGTATATGTATATATATACACACACACATATGTTATTGTTAGCTGCCATTGAGTCAGCCCCAACTCATGATGACCCCATGTACAATCGAATGAAATGCTGCCCGGTCCTGCACCATCCCCATGATCAGTGGAGATCAGGCCATTGTGATCCATAGGGTTTTCACTGGCTGATTTTTGGAAGTAGATCACCAGTCCTTTGTTCCTAGTTCATCTTAGGCTGGAAGCTCCACTGAAACCTGTTCAGCATCCTAGGAACACACAAGCCCCCACTGACAGACGGGTAATGGCTGCACATGAGGTGCATTGGCCAGAAATCTAACTCAGGTCTCCCACATGGAAGGCGAGAATTCTACCACTGAACCATTGCTGCCCCCGTATACAGAGATATATACACAGTGAAACCTGTGAGAGCCGGAACTTGATGGGACTGCCTTGTTTTTATGGGTCTCACAAGTTTTCCACCTTTGGCAGGATGCAGTTTTATCACTTTTCTATCACTCCATTTAGTAGAAAATACTTTACTTTTCCTTCTCTGACAGGTTTCAGCCTTACACAAGTTCCAGCTTTTGCAGGTTTTACTGTATATGTTCTAGAGATTCTGCATCTCTGATTGAACCCTGGTAGAACTTGCTTCAGATTTCAAAATTGTTTAATGAAAAAGAATCACACATTCTTGAAGATCTTTTACAGGTCCTTATGTGACCACAGGAGGAGATGGAGTTCAAGGACAATTTTAACTGCAGGAGGCAGATGAACCCTCATGACAAAGGTCACCTCTGAAGGACACAGAGTCTCTGGCCTCCACATAAGAGAGAAAAAATAGGTTATTGGCGCACTGGTTTGTTATTTCTGCCAACAATGCAGAATGAAGTGGCCCTTTGTATAGATGGACTCGTTGTTGTTGTGTGCCATCTAGTTGATTCTGATGCATGGCCACCCTATAGGGCAGGGTAGAACTGCCCCACCGGGTTTCCTGGGCTGTAATGTTTATGGGAGCAGATCATCACGTCTTTTCTCCCAGGGAGTTGCTGGTGGGTTTGAACCACCAATCTTTCAGTTAGCAGCTGAATGCTTAACTATTGCACCACCAGGGCTCCTTACAGATGGTCTTAGAGGTGTGTAGTGCACCCAAACCTCCACCCAGCAGCTTCCCCCTAGAGCTCAGTACTGAGCATGAGGAGGCGAGAAACCACTAAAATGTCAGCTCCTTCCAGACAATTTGCAGCAGGCAGAACTCTGAAGGAGGAAAGTTGATCTCTGATGTCCATTTCTCTATCCTGTCTCCATAATTTATTAATTCAATGCACTTTTACTGTGTCCTTTGAGGCAGACACTGTGTGAGACACAGGGAACAAGAAGAAGACTCCAATAGAGTCCTACCTTCTTGAAGCTCTCTTGCTTGTTGGAGGAAAACAGACAGATAATTGTGAAAAAACATGAGAATGTGTCCAGAACCATCCACCTGGGACTGTGACTTTCTACTTGGAGCTGTGGTCCCTTTCCACCACAAAAATGCATCTGCCGTATATCTCTCTCCCTGGGAATGTTGGGTTCACAAATTCTTTGTGCAAAAAATATTTTTTCTTTCCCCTATAACTGACAATTTTGAATTTCCATTGTGCTGGGTGACAGAATCATAATTCAGGATTATTCAGGCAGCTTAGGCCCCTCTCTCTTCTTGCCCTAGGTTAGGGAAGGGAGGTTTGTATGCCAAGGCCCTGCATGGGAAAGGAGTATCTGGTTCCCAGTCCACACTAGTGACCACCGAGTTATTCTCGTTCTTCTGTAGTCTCACGGTCTTATCAGTGGGTCTGCCCAGGCCCCAGCTACCACCTCCTTGCCCTGACCTTATTGCCTCTCAGGTCTGGCTTTCTCTCAATTGCTTCTGTGCTCCTTTTGTGCACAAGTAAAACATCTGGTCGCTTCCTGCACTAGGCAGGACTTACTGCCTATGCAACTGTGAAGCCATGACCATGGTTGCTGCATCATGCTTGACACAGAGGGGAACTCTACAAGGTTGTCACCTCCCCCAGGTCCACCGGGGAGCAAGGCACACACCTCCTCTACTCTGAGATCTCCAAACCTATCTGGGTGTCTATCATCACTACCACACCTGCCTCACACCCACACACACCCCAGGACAAGGTAAGGAGAAGGTGAGCATTCACCAATGTCTAAGCTTCCTTGCTGAGTTTGCTTTTGAAACCTATAAGCATCTTTGATTTCTCGTTTGGGTTTTTTTTTTTTTTTTTTTTTTTTTGTATCATCCCTTTCCTGGGGCAATTAATGCAACTGATTAAATGAGGGGAAGACAAAGCATACAAGGATACAGAAGTGCAGGAGAGAAATCTTGACTGATACCTTAAAATGTTACCTCATCACATTTATACACTACTTTGAACTATACAAAGTTCTTTCGTTTGTATTATCTAATTTACTATTTGCAATAACCCTGTAAGGTGGGTATTAATCTCATCTTACAGAGGAAGAAACCGAGGTAAGAAGAGGTTAAGAGACTGACCAAAGGTCATAGAACTATAAATGACTAAGTCAGAACTCTAATTCAGGTTTTCCAGCCTAAGTCCTGGGCTCTTTCTTCTAGTCTTCTAGAAGCATTTGCCCTGAGACAAAGGAAAGAATTCTTGAACCTGGAGTTTTCAAACTATATTCCCCGGAGTCCCAGGGTCCTATGCAGGTGCTCCGCAGTCCAAAGGGAGGTGAGGATGGTAGATAGCTCCTGGGAAAAGGCCAGAGGAAGGTACTTTGAGCCCTTGGTACTACAACCTGGGCCCTAATTCTACCTGTGTCCATTTTATATATTCGAAGTTCCCATAAAACTTTTTTTGGGAGAGGGACGCAGAAAGGAGGGATAGTGTTACCTTGAAAGTTGTGGGAAATTACTGCTGTAATTCCAAAACATGTATTTCTAATGGAAGAATTTTCATGCACCGGAGCAAGCTAGTTGGGAAGGTCTTTCAAGAGCAAGGAATGATAGCAATCATTTGTTGAATAATGATTAAGTGCCAGACACTTTATTAATTGTCCCTTTTAATTCTTACAGCAAAATTCCCATTAGGCAGGCATTTACTACCAGTCATTTTACAAATAAGAGACAGAGATTGGAGAGAGGCTAGGTTAATTGGCCCAAGGTCCCACACCTAATGGTGACAGACCTAGGATATGCACCCAGACCCGTCTCATGTTCAAATTGCACCGCATCGCCTCCCTAAAGGTCTGTCTCTAAGCTGAAGCTGTGACAGACGAGGCAACCTAAACCAGGGCTGTCTTGAGTTTGATCAAGCGGCCTGCTGCAAGGGCTTGAACTCCAAAAGACAAAACTAACGAGTAGTTCTAAGGATGTCTCGATCCCTACTACTCAAAAGCATGTGAAATCCCAAAAGCTGGCAAGGTGCGCCAAGGCCCAGGAACCGGCACTCGCTTCAGCCACACAGAGCGCCTCACCCGAGGCTAGCGCCTTCACACCTACGTAGACTTTCTACCCGCGACCAGAGAAACTAGGATAAAGGGCACACCCCGTCGGTTGGATCGAGGGTAGCCTGAAGTCCCTAGAACAGGAATCGAGAAACTCCTAAATGCCCGGAGGAACCCACAAGTGATGCCAATAAGGGCGATTCTTTCAAAGCAGGTGCTTCATTTGCACCTTCCCGCTCCCTTGTACCAAAAAACTACACCTGCTTCCATTTCCCTTTAAACACGCAGCCCTTGTGATTAGCCATAACAGAAATCTGGGAGAAACAAAAAAGATCACATCTTCCCCCTGATTCTCCTTCACTCTCTTATAAAAACCCCACAACACAAGAAACACTCGGGAACCAACAACCCCACGGTGACGGGAGGGAGGCTGCGCTGCAGATTCTTCTTCCGGGCTGGCGGTGACTACTTCCGGAGCGACGGCGCGCGAGGCGGAAGTGCGGGCTTTTCGCGGCTGCTGTCTCTGGGCGGGCGGAGGGAGGCTCCCGAGGCGGGGGCCGGCCCGGGATGGCGGCAGCGGCGGCTGGGGCCGCGGCCTGGGCAGCCCACGAGAAGCAGTTCCCGCCGGCGCTGCTGAGCTTCTTCATCTACAACCCGCGCTTCGGACCGCGCGAGGGAGAGGTGCGTCCGCCGGCAGCTGAAGAGGGCCGGGGGGGGGCGAGAGGGCCGGCGGGACGGTGTCGGTCCCTGGGAGAGGCGGGGTGCGGCATGGGAGGCGGCCACCGACCGGAGTGCTCGCGAGCAGCACCTGTCATCCTGCCCTCATTGGGCGACATTTACCGAGCTCCGGCTTGGTGCCAGGTGTGGCGCCCGGCGATACGCCCGGGATCAGAAGCGCCGGGGGTAAAGGCTTAGTCTGTTGAATAAAGGTTCATCAGGTTCATCTCTGCGGATGAGTTGAGTCTCTTACGCTTTGCACAGGTGCTGGTCATTTAAATTGAGTTTATGTCTTTGTCATTGGAACTCCCTAACTAGAAAGAAGCGTGGAGCAAGAGTGGTCGACTGTAGCCCTAAAGTAATGCAAGCTTGAAGGACCTTCGAAAAGTTTTTTTTTTTTCTTCCCCAAATTAATAAATAAATAAATTTCAGGAGTTGAGGTTTTTGTATTGTCTTGTTTTAGTTTTTTAGGTGAGGACGGTTTCTTCCCCAAAGGATGTCCGGAGCTATGTTTTGTTGGCAGCAAATCACCGTCCTTTTGAAGGCTGTCAGTCCAAATGCCTGTGAACCGGCTGGATTTAATTTGCGGGGCGGTGTAGGTCTAGGCACGTGTGCAGACGCTTCTTATTTTAATTTTTTTTACAAGGGCTGGAGTATCACAAATTAGCCTGAGGAAAGAAATCCAGAAATTGAGTTTTCAGAAAAATTGGCTAGCGCTACTCGGATGAAATGGGATATTGTAAATGTCATAATAGCCATTCGGGCTGGTGGGAAATATGTATAGAATAATTTCTGTTTTTTAGAAAGGGTCTTTTTTTGGTTTGTTTTTAGCATGACATAAGAGGTTGACACTTAACAGCGTTTTCAGTGGTTATACTGCTTATATTAATGTGCTTCTGTTTCTTCATACTTTAGGAGGAAAATAAAATTTTGTTTTATCATCCAAATGAAGTAGAAAAGAATGAAAAAATTAGAAATGTTGGGTTATGTGAAGCTATTGTACAATTTACAAGGTAATGCCTTTAAATGTGTGTTTGTAGAGCTCGGTGAATTCTTAAAATTTATTCTGGAGAATTGTCCCAAATATATTCTTTTAACCTTTTTAGGACCTTTAGTCCTTCAAAACCTGCAAAGTCTTTACATACACAGAAGAATAGACAGTTCTTCAACGAACCAGAAGAAAATTTCTGGATGGTCATGGTATTTACATATTCAGTATATGTTTCTGAAGCTGTATAGTAAAGTTATGGGTGATGTTTACTGTTAGGAATTTCGAAAAGTCCTCTGGCTAATCCATAAAAATGGGATTGTGATAAAGTTGGTTGCAATTTTAAAACCAAATTCATATTCATTGCATTTTTTCTTGGGGCTATTTTAAGAAATTCTTTCTAGTATTATGTTCAAAATTATTTTAATTAGGAGAAAATTAAAATTATATAACCCAGTCATGTAATTTCAGTATATCAAACTTTGTAGGTTGTTCGGAATCCTATAATTGAAAAGCAAAGTAAAGATGGAAAACCAATTGTTGAATACCAAGAAGAAGAGTTGTTGGTAATGTGTTACTTTTTAGTTCATATTTTTAGAAACAGTGTATTACTGAATATGTTGAGTGACTTAACTAGAGTTAAACTAGATCACTTTGGCAAAAGTTTCTCAGGGTACATAGCAAAGTGCTGAGTTTGTTTGCATTGCATAACGTTTGAAAATGTATATGTACACTAGCACACTAATACCTTCTACTGATCACCTATGTTCAGAGCCTTCCTGAAGAGGATTACTGATTCATAAATTTAAATACCGATTCAGCACAACGATTATAGGACCAAGTTTATAAGCATTAATTGGTTTGCCAAGAGTATACTTTTGCTGTACAATATACATCCTTTTTTTTCCTTCTTCCCTTGAATTAAGGTCTGTACTGTGTTTTTGTGTTTATAGGACAAGGTTTATAGTTCAGTGCTACAACAGTGCTACAGCATGTACAAGGTGAGGATGACATTCTTTTTAAAGTGAGAGTCTAGCAGTAACCAGCCCCTACTTACCAGCTTGTGGCTGCAAAGTGGACTCAAACATAGCAATGATTGTGAGGATGGCGCATGACCGGGCAGTGTTTCGTTCTGTGGTACACAGGATCGCCATGAGTCAAAACCAACTTGATAGCACCTAACAACAACAGTTTACAAGCTCAGGGGTCTTTTAAAAAGTCTTTTAAAAAGTGACTATGTATCTGTTTTAGGGGAAATAGCAGGGCTTTGAAAACAGGTATTGAGGTTTATGCATATATTAATCAGTAATTATTAGTGAGCCACCTCTTCTGTTCCAGATTTTGTACTAGGCACTGTATCCCCATTGGTGAACGGTACAACTGCAGATACTTATATGATTTACAAAATTTGGTGATAATTATTTATGTAAAGTGAAACTTAGATGTGAGTGGAGATTAAAAAAAAAATGCCCAGAACAATTAGCTGGTTACATAAAAATAACAACATCACTTAACAATGTGCTAACTTTTTGGTAATTTATTTTATAATTCAGGCTTTCTTATGTAAACAGTATATATTTTTAAAAAACTGGAGGATTAAATGAGGTGAATTAATCTAAAAGGAGAAGAAGGACTTCTTATATTGGGAAATTGAAGGGCATCAGAAATTGACTTATTTTAAATAATCTTTTATACCGTTAGCTTTTTTTTTTTTTAAGTGACTTTTTTTTTTTATCATGGAGTCACTGGGTGGTGCAAATAGTAGTTAACATACTCCTTAGCTAACTAAAGGTTGGAGGTTCAAGTCCACCTGGAGGAGCCTTGAAAGAAAGATCTGGCAGTCTACTTTTTAAAAATCAGCCATTAAAAACTCCGTGAAGCACAGTTCTACTCTGATGCACATGGGGTTACCATGAGTCAGAATCAGCTTGACAACTAGGGGTGTGCGTGCGTGCGTGTGTGCACTCACGTGTGCTTTAATTAAATTAATCACACTAAACAGAAAATGTGGAGAGTACAGATACATAGAAGTAAAAGAAACAGATCAGATAATTTTCTGTGGTTTGCATTTTACATTGGAATCATCATACTGCATATGCGTATTTGTATCCTGTCTGCTTAATCTTCTGTGCGTTTATCTCTACACCGTTAGCTTTTTAATGGTACATTTCTGAAAGCCATGGAAGATGGAGGTGTCAAGCTCCTAAAAGAAAGATTAGAGAAATTCTTCCACCGGGTAAGTATTTTGAGTTTCATTTATAATTTTAGTAGCGTTCAAACAGATCCTTGGAGGTAGATAGCTACAGATTTATTTCTCAGATACCAAAAACCTGGAATTTAAAAGTGGCAAAGAGCCTAAGACAGTTGTGGCAAAAACAGAAAAGCTGTTGCCACTGAGTCGATTCCAACACATAGTGACCCAATAGGACAGAGTAGAACTGCCCCATAGTGTTTCTAAGGCTGTAATCTTTATGGGAGCAGACTGCCACATCTTTCTCCCACAGAGCGGCTGGTGGGTTTGAACTGCCAACCTTTTGGCTAGCAGCTGAGTGATTAACCACTGTGCCACCAGGGCTCCTTGGCAAAAGCAGACTGATGGGGAAAGTCATTAGGCTTGAATTCTTGAGGCTGTCTTCTAAACTTTTGTGTATAATCAGAGAGCATCATGCTGTTTGTGCTTGACTCCTTAAAGCATCTTGGAGACATCCTTTGGCTTTGTTCTTATTCTACCTCTGTCCATGTAGGCTCACTCAAAAGCCATCTTCCTTTCTGTGGATTGGTTCCCTCTCATTCTCATTAGCAAAATTTATACTCTTTGTAGAGTGGTACATTCTTTTTTTTTTAAATATTTTATTGTATTTCAGGTGAAGGCTTACAGAACAGATAGTTTCTCATGTAACAGTAACACACATGCTGTTTTATGACATTGGTTAACAACCCCACAACGTTTTAACCCTCT